ATAAATAAAAGGCCAATGTAAAAGAGGCTTAACTATATTTAGGTTTTTCTTTTCCTTTAGATCTAATTCTAAATTATGGACCATTGTCAATATTTGTAGCCTCTTTCATTGATTATAATAATCATCCTTGAAAATGCCTTCTAAAGAATGCTGGCCCCTTGAGAGCAGGAGCAGTTTATCAGCTGTGTTTACTGTACCTGAAACAGCCCTCAGTGTTTGCTGGACATTGTTAAATGTATGTGCAAAAGTTGAATGACAGACGGACATATTCTGGGGGGACCTTGCCCCCAGTGAGCTAATGACGACATTCATAGTGACCCTTCACCTTTTAGACGCGGTCTTCTGGGATATATTTTTAGCGTTCCGCGTGGTCTTCATCTTGATGTGTCTGTTTCACATGTGAACGTGAAGTTCATGGGCATTTAGTTGAGGCTGAGGAATCACTGCTTTCAACATTCCTTGTGGCTTACATCCCTGCATTTTTATGATCACTGTAGTTTTAATCACTGGCACTCCTTCGTTTCCATTTCCCACGAATTGCAAAATGCTATAAAAAATTCAAATACTGTAAACAAGCGTGGCTATACCGACAAAGGAAGGCCAACATTTAACTGCTAGGTGATTTTCAAAGCTCAGCATCTTTATCTAAAAAGCATAGTAGGGGTGCAGCGAAGTCAGAAGTCAAATTTTATTAAAGCTGAGGACAGCCTATAGTAGCTTTTGCTTTTTCCCTGGTGGCTGCTCACTTGAATTTCAGACAGTTCTAGTAATGAGAGAAAATAAATAACATTACAGGGTGAGCTAACCCTATGAACCCAGACCTGTAAATTTGTAGCGAAATGATACTTCCTCTCACAGACTTGTGACTTAATCTCCTTAAGAGGCTTTTTCTGAGCAAGGCTGAGACATCTCAGAAGACTAAATCTGTGTCTATGAAACTGACTGCAAAAGAGTTCTTCCCTCCCAGGGTCTGGAGGGTATGAGTGCCTGTCAGTCCATGTGCTGTTTAACCCTCTGGTGCTGGACTCCGGGTCTCCCTCCGCTCTTTTCTCCCCGATGCAGAGCCCATGCTGGTGCGCTAACCTGCAACGTCTCTGTGCTTCTCTTCTTACCTCCTCTTTCCCCTTCTCTTTCCCTCTTGCTGTGGTGTGTCCAGAAAAGGAAGTCGAGTTCCAGCGTGCACCTAATGGTGAGCCTTGCCTGCCCACCCATCGCCCACTCCATGCTGCCTGTGCCCGCCTGCCAGCCACGCAAACCCGTTCTGCCACGTGCGTGTGCTTCACTCATCCTCACTGCATGTCTGTGCTGTGTGGGCAGGTGTGGCCTGTCCTGCCAGGCGGGGGCCATTGCCCAAGGTCACCCAGTGGCCTAAAAAGTGGGCATTGGAAGGGGTGGTATGGCACCCCCTGCTGTGGAGTTTGGACAGCCCCCAGCAGCCCAGGGTAGGATGTGAAGCTGGTAGGGACCTGGGGCAAGCAAGGGAGAGACCCTCACTCGCTGTCACCCAGAAGGAGAGGCCCTGCTTCCCAGGCATGAGCAGCTGCTTCCTACAGACTGGCAGCTGGAGGGCAACTGTGTGGTGGGCAGAGGAGCTGGTTGCAGGCTCCCACTTGTGAGTCTCGCTCTCCTGGCTCTGCCCCCATGCAAATCCCATTCTCCAGCTGTGCCCAGTGGTTCATCCTGCCCACCCAACCCTCAGGGGAACAGCTAACTCATCTTTCTCACAGTACACTGGGCACCAAGGGCAACACAGCAGCCTGAGTCATTATGAAACCATCCACTGAAACCAGAGGTGGGGGC